ACAATCAATTTCCTTTCAACAATATTATTCACAACATTTGCCACAGTTTTCTCAATAATTTCATTCAATTTTTGTATGGTGTCCTCATCTCTTGTAGAAATGGTGTGGCTTGACTCAACAACTGCACCTTCATTCATTTCTGTTTCTTAATTGCCTTTTCAATATTGAATTTTCTGTTGTGAGAGCCTTTTTCTTAGTAATCAACAGCATTAGTAGCTCAATGGATCTTTCATGCGACAATTCCAAGTCATGCCAAATAAAATACGGGCATTTTAAATCCTGTCATTAAACAACCTAAAAATAGGAAATAAAAAATGGAAGAAAACCAAAAACAATAGATGAGTAATTTTGCATTGGCTTAAGGCAGAACCCCAAATTTACCTCATTTAAGAAGTGCTGGCAACCATAAAATTGTCTCCCAATGCTCCACGATCTCCATGAAGTCCACCTTGGTGCCTTGAAGCCACACTCACAGTACATTTGAGGACCTTTATAGTTGTGCTCAATCAGCCCAACATCCCTCACAACTATTGCACCAGCAGAGGCTCAACAAGGTCCAACTCAAGAATTAGATGAAGATTCCATGAGAATAAATTCACAAACACCCACAATCTTTTCCCCTCGACTAATTTTAGGAAAGAATTGAAGAAATGAGAGAAAGAAGAGAACTCGAACCCCTAACTCTAAAAACTTGAACTAGGGCAAACAAGTTGGCCATAAAATATCAGCTAAAAATGGGATAAAGAGTGGGACCCACCAACCATAGTGTCAAACAAAGGGCACGCAAATGACACGATGTGTAAAAAAGAGCGAGATTGGTACACATCAGCCTCCAGCATGTAAAAAAATGACACGGTGGCACGAGCTAAACGGAGATCATGACGGAGATGATGTCAGCAGTTAAGTAATGGATGATTTGGGTTAATCGATAATGTTGGGGGGCTACATGTCCCTTCATTTTTGTGAGGGGTGGATCCATCCCTACCCATATTTTTTAAAGGGCGATTTGAGGGTTCTGCCCTTTTGTGCAAGAGGAGAATTGGGGAGAGAGAAAGAGAGACGTTATCGGTGAGGGAGGAGAATCGAGGTGGACACTACCATTGTGCCACACCAATGAGGGGGGAGACTCCCGAGAAAGAGAGGTGGAGGAGAAAAATGGTAGGTTTAGGAAATTTAATCCAATCCAGCCTTATTCCATGTGGCTCTTGGGATTAAATTTATATGATAAGTATGGGATTGAATAAAATAATGGATATTGTTTATCCTATCTTCAATGCTCTCCAAACTTAAGATTATGTTGGATTGGACAAATTTTTTATCCAATCCAGCCCTTCATCCAGCGCTCCAAATGAGCCTTAAGTGGACAATATATTCATTTTCAATAACAAAAGACATGCAATTATTTCAAGCATAATGGCTTATACAATATGATGTGTTATTCTATTGTTAATTTTCTTATTTAGGATCATGCATGAATCAATTTGCTTTGTTTGATGCCACTTTATATTACTATAATAAAGGATAAAGATATACACACACTCTAACGTTACACATTTTATTACACCCTAACTATCTCCGTTATGCAAACTGACAGTGTTTGTTACCTAGCCTTTTTTTCTCTCTCCTCTCCTTTCTACTCTAGCTTGTTTACTCTCCTCAGAGGTTAAGATCAGTGCAAACAAAACCTACAATTCTAGTTGGTGATTACCCGGTTCTTCCTTCTTTTCCCTCTTCCTCCTTTCTTTTTCTTCTTCTTCCTTTTCTTCCCCCCTTTTGGAGAACCCGTGGGTTCTCATGGGATCTGGGTTCTCACCGTGAGACTGGGTTCTCATGGCGAGAAGCAATTCTAGTAGGTGATTACCCGGTTCTTCCTTCTTTTCCCTCTTTCTTCCTTCTTTTTCTTCTTCTTCCTTCTCTTCCCCCCTCTTGGAGAACTCGTGGGTTCTCACGGTGAGAACCCGAACGTGAGAACCCAAATCGGATTCTCACTGTGAGACTGGGTTCTCACCATGAGAACCTGATCCGGACTCTTGTCTTTTCCTAATTTCAAATGATTTTATTCTGGTTTTTTTTTTTTTGTTGATTTGTTGTGAGTTGCTGGAAATTTCTTTTGAATTCTTTGTGTGTTGTTGAAAATGTCTAATGGGTGCTCCAAAAAAGATGGAATGTTGGCGGCAATGTGGAACACTTTTTTTGGTTGGATGTTTGCTTCTTACATTAATGGCAGCAAGATTAAGAAACCCAACACTCTCTGGATTTGAAGAAGATGGAGAAGTTTAGGGGTTAGGTGTGTAACGGAGACCGTTAGTGTACTTGACGGATTCCGTTAGTGTGTGGATAGATGTGTAACGGTAGAGGATAAGCCTATTATTGTCCTATAATAAAACATTATAGTTCAAAATAAAATTTATTCTAGGTGTAGCATTGCCGGATTTAGAATATGGTTATCTTTTAATAAATAAAAATTTATGGCTCGTTTGTGAGTT